TCTTTTCCAACCAGTCCTAGGGCTCCAACTACAACAGGGATTGTTGATGTTCCCATATGGCACATTTTCGAGATTATTATTATTATTATTATTATTATTTGTATTATTTATGTAAATGTACAATTGGTTTTGTTGTTGGTGCTGTTTCTTCTAATTGCGAAGGATGCCGGAATTCTTTAAGGAACGACGCATTTGCCTCAATCGTAAGGAATGGCAAAAGAAAGATGTTCTTTTTTTTATATCTACACTTGATTGTGCTACTTCTCGTTCTTCATATTCAGTTAGTCTTTTTCTTCTTTTTTTCTTTTTGTATTCTTTTTTTTTTTTTTTTTTGCTTTTTACCGGTGGATTTATTTTAATATTTTCTTTACTTGTAGATGTATTTCCATTTTATAATCCGATTCGTTTAAATCCTTTCGAAAGTAAATCGCTCGGGCTTGGTGCTAAGTCTTCGAGAAAGTAGATCAAAGAGACTAGATTAAAAACCAAAAGGGGAAAAAAGCAGAACAAAAATCACCAATAACAACAATATAATCATAAAAAATTGAACTAACAATGGAGAAAAAATCCAAGACCAACTAAAAATCATTAAGATACTAATTATGGTATATTTAATAGTTGTATTTTTTTGAGATTGTAACGAATGGAGATGAGGGTAGCGTAGCGATTATCAGCGAAGAAAATAAAATCGGCAAGCAGAGTTTCAATCTGTTTGCTGTGTTACTTTTTCCAGTTGAAAATCTTCTCCACAACTATGGGTTAAATAGCAGTATAGACTGAGTTAGTTAATAGAAATTGCTATTAAAATAGATGACTTGCCTCTGGAAGTTTTCAACGATTTTCAATACCTCGGCATCCTCCTATCACAATCTGGAACTTGCAAAAGAGAAATTAATCATTGCATCGAATCGGCTCATTAGGCTTTCGAAAACTCAGCCTGCTCATCCCTCAGAACAAAACATACGGTGATCCACGCCATTGTCATCTCCATCTTGTTCTACACTTGCGAATCATTGACACTGTATTGAAAAGTCGTGTAAAATCTCAAACGTTTTCAACTGGCCAAACTCCGGTAGATCCTTAATATCAAATAGCAGGACCGATTCTTCAAGACACCTTTACAGCGAGGTCGTCAACGGTAAACGACATCGCGGAGATGTAAAACGCAAATTGAAAGACCAATTGAAGTCATCCCTCCTTCAAGCCGGAAACAGACCCAACACCTGAGAAACAGAAGTCACCGACCACCCATCCAGGTGAATTGCAATTTATTTCGGTTGCTCCACTGAAAGACTGAGGAGGAAGTAAAAAATGGTAACTCAGTGACCGGCAGCTCCAGCCAAGATAATCACCCGCCCTGCTATGCGATCATTGCCATAGACTAATCCATTCCTGAATTGGGCTCCTGAACTATGGACGTATCGGGTGACCCAAACTCGGACACACGTGGTTCACACTGCTTGCTTTATCTGCATGACCAGAAATTACTATTAATATAAGGGTCTTGCTTTTGGGAATTGTCAGCGTTTTTCAATACCTCGGCAGCACTCACATTCGGAGGCATGCGAAAAGGATTTAAACCACCGGATCAAATACGTTCGTTGGGCCTTAGGATGACTCAGTCGAGTTTCCAATAACCATGTACTCTCCGTCACGAACAAACATTGCTAACTCCAACTTGTTTTATGCTTGAGAGGCATGGATCTGTATCAAAAGAACCTAATAAGGAACAAGCTGATCCTGGATATCAAATGTCAGGACCGACGCACCAACAGCACTCGCTCGGAAATAACGAGAATTGAAGCTGCCATCCTCAAGAATGGCCTCAGGTATTCAGGATATGTCACCCTAATGGCTTCTGAAAGACTCCTTTACAACAAGCTCGTCAATGGCTAACGACATAGCGGAGACTCAAAAAGCAAATTCAAAGACCAATTGAAATCTTCAAGCTGGAAGTAGACACAAGACCAGGGAAAAAGAAGCCACCGACCGTCTTCCCTGGCCTGGAGCAATTCGCCTGCCTCAATCCTCAATTAACGGCGGATGAGGCGGTTCTGGCCCAGTGTATGTGCGTCTCCATCTTTGATTCACGGCCAACTCTCTCCCCAGAGAAGAGAAATGAAACAGGGAAAGGGCATTACGATCTCGATGCTCGGATAGGAGCAAGTGCCGTCTACTAGTGTATTCCAGATTTATTCTTAAATCTCACGGATGACGAGCAGTTACGATGATACATTGATCATTATAATGTGTACTTACAAATTGAAATTACTTATGACTCACAAATATACAATGTTTATAATATGGTATCAAAAAGTACCATAACTGTAATTAATATTAATAAAATCAGCTGAAATAAGTCAATTGAAATATATACAGTCAACGACGAAATTATTCATCCATCAATTTTGAATATTTTTAGCCATTTCACAGAATTTAATGCCCGTATGATGTCATGTTTTTTATATGTTGATGAGCACAAAAACGGAATATAAAACCCAATTTTCAGAACAATAGGTTAAATACAACAAATTTGACAGGCGAATTATGCAAAATAGGAAAAGACAAAATTGTTCGTACAGTAAGAAAATTTGAAAAACATTGAACGTTTTTTATAGTGTTAATAGTTACCAACATGGCCTCTCATCTTTATGACTTGCTGCGATCGTTTTCTGAAGTTTTTGATGAGATTTGATCAAGTTTTTTTTGGATTTTCTTCCATTATTCAATACTCATTGAAGGCCGTGGCAGAATTGTGATCATCTTTTTCTGAAGCCACGCATTCTCTGTTTTAGTTGTCTTGCTGGAAAGTAAATCGCCGACCAAGATGAAGATTTTGCGCTGATAGTTATAGATTTTTATACAGAATTTGATATCGTCTGAAATTTTCATTATTCATCTTATTTCAATTAGTTGTCCCCTCCCCTCCTTGAACTAAAACAACCCCAAAACATCATCGAGCCGCCTCCATGTTTTAAAGTTGCCACTGTTTCTTTTGGAGGAAAGCTCACCTTTCTTGTGCCAAATCTTATGTACATCATTATCTAAAAGGCTCAATTTTTCTTTCATCCCTCCACAGTACTTGTTCCCTAAAACAATTTTCTTCGTCCAAGAACGTTTCGGCATAATTAAAAACGATCATGGTTTGTGAATTGGGGTTCGTCAAGTTCGGTTTCTGTAACCCCCTATTTCTATTTAAACAGCGTTGTATTGTGCGAGTAAAAATGCTGATACCCATCGTATCCAAACTTTTAGCGATGTCTTTCAAAATATCCTTGGGTTTTATTAACCTTGCGACGTAGGTTTTGTGCAGTTCTCGATGTCTATTAAGGGTTTCTTTCACGCCCAGGAAAATTCTCTGTCGTGTCGAACTTTTGAAAGTTCTTTATAATCTTTTTTTTCTGGAGACACGTAGTCACTGATTTTCACAAGATTAATAGTCAATAGCAGGAAGCTTGAAGAAGGGAAAAATAGGCTGCGTTTTAAGAAAGATGTTCGAATACTGAAAGTAAAATATGCAAACTTATTTTAACGAAAAGAATATTTACAAAGTTTTTGATACTGGGTGGCAGGTTGTTAAAGCGGGGTGGGCGTCTTTCGCTTCTAATCGGTAGAGAACAGGTGCAAAAGATAAAAGAGACACGGAAATGAGAAAAGCTAACTTAAATGTCTGACTAGCAAAATGATGTGTATGGGTTAAAAGCAAGAAATGAAGAAAGAGGAAGAGGGAGAGAAAGTAGGGAGGGGCATAAAAAGAAAAACACAGAGGAAATGAGAACAGAATTATGAATGAAAAGAAGATGAGAGAAAGTGAAAGAAAGAATGAAAGAGAAAAGAAATAAAGCGAAAAAAGGAAGGAAAGAAGGAAAAGAGAGAATGAACAAAAAAGTAATGATTGAAAAAGGTTTAGATAAGATGAAGAGCAGACAAACGAAAAGAAAGAAAGAAACAAAGAAAAATGAAAGAAAATAAAGAGGGCAAAGGAAAGTGAAGCAAACAGAAAGAAACTAAGAGAATAAAGAAAATAAGAAGGAAACAAAGAAGCAATGAAAGAAAATAAAAAAAATGGAAAATTAAGCAAAGAGAATAGTGCAGATATATATAAAAGATCGAGAGAAAGAAAAATAAAGAAGGGAAGGGAGAAAGAAAAAGAAAGAAAGATAAGAATAAACAAAGAAGGAAAGAATGGAAAAGTGTAAAAAGAAAGTTTAGAAAGAAAGAAAGAAAGAAAGAAAGAAAGAAAGAAAGAAAGAAAGAAAAAGAAGAAAATTTAAATTAGCACAAAAAACTCGCAAAAAACAACAATAAAGTAGAAATGGAGGCTGTGGCAAAAAATCTCTCACATATTTCTGCCGCACCCACTATATCTACAATTTTTTTCATTTCAATTTTCCTTTTTTTTTATCTATCTATCTATCTATCTAACTATCTATCTATCTATCTATCTATCTATCTGTCTGTTTGTCTGTCTATGTCTGCCTGTAAGAAAGAAAGAAAGAAAGAAAGAAAGAAAGAAAGAAAGAAAGAAAGAAAGAAAAAGAAAGGAAAAATTAAGAAGAGGAATTAAAATAACAAGAGAAAAGAGTACAAAAATTCAAAAAAATAAAAGAAAGAAAGAACGAAAGAAAGAAAGAAAGAAAGACAGAAAGGAAAAAGAAAGGAAAGACAAAGGAAAAAGTAAGAGAATGAATTAATTTAAGAAGGGAAGAAAGTACAACAATTCGAAAAAAAAAAAGAAGAAAGAAGATTTGAGACAATGGAAAATCAAGCAAGAAAATAAGAGATTAGAGTTTATAAGAAAGAAAGAAAGAAAGAAAGAAAGAAAGAAAGAAAGAAAGAAAGAAATAAAGAATTGAAATAAGAATGAAGCAAAAATAAGAACAAAAAATAAAAGACAAGATTAAAAAAGAAAGAAAAAACGAAAAAGAAAGAAGGCAAAAAAGAAATAAAAAGTAAAAGGCGGGATGAATATAAAAAAAGGAGAAAATAGAGTAGATAAATTAGAAAAAGAAAAGGAAGGAGGGAAGGAAGGAAGGAGGGAAGAAAGAAGGAGGAAGGATGGAGGGATGGAAGGAGAAAAGGAAGGAACAAGGTAGAAAGAAATAAAGAAAGAAAGGAAGGAAGGACGGAAGGAAGGCAGAAACGAACGAAAGAGGGAATGGAAAATGAAGGAAATAAAATGAAAAGAACAGAATAGATAACATAAAAAAGAAAGTTATAACGAAAGAAGAAAAAGATAGATATAAAAATGAAACAAATAAGGAAATGGAGAGAAGAGAGAAGATAATGAACTAAAAGAAATATTAAGAGGCAGAATGAAAAATGGATTGAAAATAAGTAAAATTAAAATGGCGGAAATAAATAAAAAAAATTAAAGAAAAAAGGAAAAAGATAAGACATGAATGATCCATATAAGATAGATAGATAGATAGATAGATAGATAGATAGATAGATAGATAAAGAGGCTGAGATAGATAGATAGATAGATAGATAGATAGATAAAGAGGCTGAGATAGATAGATAGATAGATAGATAGATAGATAGATAGATAGATAGATAAAGAGGCTGAGATAGATAGATAGATAAAGAGGCTGAGATAGATAGATAGATAGATAGATAGATAGATAGATAGATAGATAGATAGATAGATAGATAGATATGAATAAAATAAGAAGGAAAAAGAAGGAATAAATGAAATTAATAAATAAAGAAAGAACAGATTGAAGAAGATATGAGTAATATGAGATAGATAGATAGATAGATAGATAGATAGATAGATAAAGAGGCTGAGATAGATAGATAGATAGATAGATAGATAAAGAGGCTGAGATAGATAGATAGATAAAGAGGCTGAGATAGATAGATAGATAGATAGATAGATAGATAGATAGATAGATAGATAGATATGAATAAAATAAGAAGGAAAAAAGAAGGAATAAATGAAATTAATAAATAAAGAAAGAACAGATTGAAGAAGATATGAGTAATATGAGATAGATAGATAGATAGATAGATAGATAGATAGATAGATAGATAGATAGATAAGAAAAGAAAAGAAGCTGAATGAAAAATAAGGAAAAGAAGCGAATAGAGTAGAAAAAGGAAAGAAATCAATAAAAGAAAGGAAGAAAGATAAAGTAAGTACAGGAATAAAAAAATGGATTAAAAATATTTAAAAGAATAAAATGGCGGGAATAAATGAGAAAACGAAAGAATTAAAGTCAATAAATGAGAAGACATGAATGATCAGTAAATGAATGAATCAAAGAAAGAAACGATCAAACTACATGTAAATAAAAGAAATCCATCTCTAACGGAATAATAAATAAAAAGAAACGACAGATTAAATAAACGGGAAAAGAATTAAAAATATGATAAATACAAGACCAAGAGGGCAATAAAAAAATATAAAACGAATAAAAATACATCGTATGATAAACTCGAATAAAAGATGGAAGAAAATGAAAGGGGAAGCTAAAGCATTAGAAAGCTTTTCTCAATTCTGTTTCCGTATTAAAAAAAAAAAAAAAGTATGTCCATGAAAATCTGTAAAATGGAGAAGGTTGGGTAAGAGGAAAGTTTGGGGAAGTTCAGGCTTTAGTCTCGTCTGGTGTTTTGAATCCGTCTTTCATAATCTTCTCTTGTGATTTTGGGATCGGAGTAAGTGACGGGACAAAACGAAATATGGAGGCAAATGGGGTGGAGATTAGACATGGAAATGAAGAGGGTCTGGAGCAGAGAAAGACTGAAATTTGAACTACAAGTAAAAGAGAATTTACGAGACAATAAACAACTTACTTTTTTTTTTTTACAATAACGTATGTTACCAAAGCTGCAACAAATGCAAAGGACAAAACAAAGTAATCTCTGATTAAATGTGGCTCAATTGATGCTGCTGAGAAAAATTACCGCCGATTTCGGCATTTTATTTACTGTTCTTCTTCAGGAGACTGAACATTATGGTTTCCCACAATTTCCTAGTTTTCTTCCTCTACACAATATTTGTCTTTTTAATCTCTCTCTATCTCTCCCCTACGTCCTTTAGGCTTACAGCCACATCACGTCGAAACATTGGTTCTCCTACGGGAACACTTCGACGTGATGTAAGGTTTAGCAAACTTGTCTAACTAGATCAGCTACCACTCAGTAGTGAGATAGATACTCACTATGTGACTCATGCTTTTGGAATTGTTTTACTTCAAAGCGACGTTTAAAATATCCAACGGCTCCCGTACAGATGTTGTTAACTCGGATATGTGAATGGTATATTGGTTTTAGGAACATATCACGTACAGGAGCACTATGACGCGATGTAATGGTTAACAAACTTGTCTCGTTAGATCAACTACGAATGAATAGTGGGATCAATCCTCAATAAGTGTCCCATACTTTCGGCCTTGTGCCACATCTAACCTACTTCGTCTGTCTATATTTCCTCAAGGACACATGGCACAGTGGATAAAGGCGTTGGTTAGATCCAGTGACAGGACACAAAGAGTGTGAGTTCAATACCTGGTTAAGGCAGTGGAGAACTTTCAGAGGGAAATTAGCAGGAGATAACTGACATCCATCAAACATGGCACGTGAACAGTCTACCCCAGTGAGCGAAATAAAGGGTTCAGTTCGAAATTCTAACCAACCGAAGAAGGCCGGAGCGTACAACGGCCGAAACGTTGTGATAAATATGGTGACAAAGATGAGGACAATAGTTCGAATAATGTAAATGATCTAACCTACTGTTTCTTGTACGGTCACGGAAGTTGTAAATTTGAATGTTCAAGTGGTATATTGGGTTTAGGACCATATCACGTTGAAACAGTGGTTCTCGTACGATTACCGAAGTTAAGCAGCGTCGAGCCTGGTCAGTACCTAGTTGGGCGATCGGTTGCGAATACCAGAGGCTGTAAGTTTGGATATGCGGCTGGTGTGATTGATAACAAAGTTGGAAATCGCAGAGCCAAGTTTCGATTCCCGTCGCATCCGTTACATTCATTTACGCGCGGATGACCTCTCCTCCTCCACCCTATCTGATTAGTCGGACTTGGCTCGGTGAATTATTGTTATCTCCTAAAATTTCTCAAAATCCCAAAATATTTTGTCTTTAAATAACCTGAAAGAGATCGATCAGCTGTAAACAGAAGCAAATAACTCAATAAAAAATCATACTTGTTCTGGCACCCGTTTACGATAGCACATTAATCACTAACCTTCTTTTTCTCACAAGTATGTTCACCCTGTACAGAGGCAACTGATAGGTTACCGTGTAAAAGGCAACTTTTATACGGATATTTGAAGAAGATAATGGTTAGCTCTAGACTTGACCAGTTAAAGATCGTTGGGATCGGGAAAAGTAACCTCTTGGCATTCAGTTCCACAAAGTAAGCCTTGGTTCCAATATGTTCTGTAAGTATTAAACTCTGCGAGCTTTCTTTCTTCGTTATGTCGAAATTTCCAACGATTCTGATTCTAATAAGTACAGAGGAACATCGTTTCATGAATTTAATTCGTTCCTGAAGGTCGTGTGTAACCCGAAATGCTCGTAAACCGAAACTATTTTTCCAATGGGACTCAATGTAGAGAAAATGTCAGTACAATAAAATTAGAAAAGAAAAGCATCGCACAACACACGAATGTATACAACACGGCTGTCGACTCAGAAATTATTCCGTTCGAGTTAACTCGGATCGACTATTGTTCGAGAACCGAAATTTTGTTCGATAACTGAGTCATTTTTTTCTTGAATTTTCTATACGAAAGCTGATTTGTTCGACATCTGAGACGTTCGAGAATCGAGGTTCATCTGTATTATTTTGTTTTCTATTTACTTCAAATCGTTTCATGTTAGTCATGTGTTCTATCTCTGATATTCTAGTGATCTTTCTTTATCACAACATCTCAGTTGCTTCAAGAATTCTCTTCATCTGTGAAGGATTGATTTTTCTTTGCATAGATTTTTGAAGGCATCATTCAATATTCCATGTGATTCTGGTTTTCAATGTTATATTTATTCTCACTCACCAGATATTTAAAATTTCCGTTCTTGAGTGATTCTGATGTCTCCAATTTGTAGCAAACACCACGTGTATTTTAGATTATCGATAACACATGTTTCATCAAAGCTGACTATTTAGAAGCATTGACATTTGCACATTAGCAAAAAATACTAGATTCAGTTATAACAACAATTACATAAAATACTAAAAGCTCTATTTACATTATTCTGACTATTGTCCTCATCTTTGTCGCCATATTAATTACAACGTTTCGGCCTTTCCGTATCTGTCTCTATTTTTGAGATGAGGTATTATGTACAATATTTACATTATTCGGACTATTGCCCTCATCTTTGTCGTCATATTTATTAGAACGTTTCGGCCTTTCAGTATCTGTCTATATTTCTGAGATGATGTATTATGTACATTATTTACATTATTCGGTCTATTGTCCTCATCTTTGTCGCCATATTTATTACAACGTTTCGGCCTTTCAGTATCTGTCTATATTTCTCAGATAAAGTATTATGTACATTATTTATATTATTCGGACTATTGTCCTCATCTTTGTCGCCATATTAATTACAACGTTTCGGCCTTTCAGTATCTGTCTATATTTTTGAGATGATGTATTATGTACATTATTCCGACTCTTGTCCTCATCTTTGTCGCCATATTTATTACAACGTTTCGGCCTTTCAGTATCTGTCTATATTTCTGATATGATGTATTATGTACATTATTTACATTATTCGGACTATTGTCCTCATCTTTGTCGCCATATTTATTGCAACATTTCGGCCTTTCAGTATCTGTCTATATTTCTGAGATGAGGTATTATGTACATTATTTACATTATTTGGACTATTGTCCTCATCTTTGTCGCCATATTAATTACAACGTTTCGGCCGTGGTAAGCTCCGGCGTTCTTCAGTTGGTTCGAATGTCGAACTGAACCCTTTATTTCGATCACTGGGATAGACTGTTCGAGTTCCAATTGCCATGTTCAATGGATATCAGTTATTAGTTATCTCCTCTTAATTCTCCTCCCCAACTTCTACACTGCCTTAACCGGGTATTGAACTCTTTGTGCTCTGTAACTGGATCTAACCAACACCTTTATCCACTGTGCCATGTGTCCTTGAGCGAACAACGGCCGAAACGTTGTTATAAATATGGCGACAAATATAAGGACAATAGTCCCAATAATGTAAATAGTGTACATAATACCTCATCTCAGAAATACAGACAGATACTAAAAATCCTGTTATATTAAATCAAGCCATATTTAATCAAGAGCATCAATACGAGATATTATATATATATATATATATATATATATATATATATATATATATATATATATGGTCTTATGGGGTCAAGCAGCTCAATTCCTAGGAACGGACAGCCAGACACCAGCAGATATGATTTTATTATAATGGTGAAGGCTTTGTGCAGAACAAACTACAACTTTTGAAGGGCCGAATACAGCGACCTCGTGGACTACGTGTCACAAGTCCCAATGGTAGGGATAATCCCAAGAAAAAAAATTAAGCCAGGGAGAACTCAACGTAAACTACAGAACATTTTAATAATCATCAATAAGAGATCCTTAAATATTCATTTCGGTCATAATTTATTTTGTGAATAATCTATATATTCAGCGTTTCTTATGGAAATCTTTTAATAAAATCTTTTAGGTAGAGATGTCAGTCGGAAGAGATGAATAAATAGACATTCACGAAATAAAATATAGCCAAAATAAATATTTAAGTTTTTCTTCTTGATTATATATACATACATTGTATACGCATTGATCAGATATGAATGAATGAGAGAAAATCATGGAGAATTGTGTTTAAAAACAGTAAAATTGACGTTGCTAACAGAACTTTCTTCTGTGGCCAAATCGGTTAAGGCAAGTCAGGATGTATTATGGTTTCGTATAGGATTTAGGTTCGATTCCTGTCGGAGGACGAATATTTTCGATGAAAATTTATCAGACCTGTAAATGACGTTAATACAGTTTATTTTAAACAGAGCATTTACTTAAATATTTGTATCTACAAGAAGAACGTATAAACGTAAAAAATGTCTTAAAATTATTGTCAGACTTTGTCCATTTCATAATGTATGATGTCATTTGGATACGCATCGAGCAGCTATGAATGTATGAGAGAAATCATGGAGAATTGTTTAAAAACAGTAAAATCGACTTTGCTAACCGAAGACTCCTCTGTAGCGCAATCGATTAAGGCACGTCCGGCTAATCTGACGGTTCTGTATATAATACAGGTTCGATTACTGTCGAAGGACGCACATTTTCTATGAAAGTTTCTCTGACATTCAAGCCAGTTAATGCTGTTTATTTTAAACAGAGTATAATAATAAAATATTACGTTTAAAATAAGTATAAATATTTGTATCTATAAAAAGAACGTATAAACGTGTGCGTGCGTGTGCGCGCGCGTGTGTGTGCGTGTGTGTGTTTAGACAGGCATCCTTCTTTCACGCACGTTTCAATGAATATGACAGAGAAGATGATTTTTTTAGATTTTTATACAATTTCTCAAGGGATCTTATAATTTTTTTCTTTTTAGTAGACAAATTATATAAAACTATCCAGTTGTACTTTTTATTCAAGTGCTTTCGGCTGTACATTTAGCCATTTTCAAGGGTAAAATATATTAACTGTTAACAAGAAATAGCTTGTTGCATGTGTGTATTTATATAATGTTTCATTTTCAAAACACGGTCATGATATTGTGTCCATGTTCATAGTTGATGTTATTGAATGTTGTTTTTTAGACTTTATTAATAAGTCTTTCATTATTTTAAACCCTTTTTTTTACATGTCGACGATGCTATTATATTTGAGCTATCAACAAGTATGTTACGAATAGGGTCCAGTAGGTCTCCATGAGTAAAAAATAAAAATTGAACAGTTTTTATATAATTTATCCTCCGAAAAGGAAAAAAATTATAAGGTCACATGAGAAATTCTATAAAAAAATAAATTAAAGCACATTCTCTGTTATGTTCAATGAAACGTTCTTATATATATATATATATATATATATAAAGAAGAGGTTATAGTAGTTCCAACAAGAGAAAAGTATGTATATTTTGGTTGTAATGTGGATTTTTTAAAAAAATATTATCCTTTATTTTTCATAATTTTGCTACCTGTGTTTCCGGTCTGGCGTCCATCATAAGGCAATGGGTGGACATTTACAAATATTATTAAAAAAATGATTAATTTTTTCCCTTTATGTTTTTCCATGTTAGATATTCTCGATATGAGACATTCTATTTTTTTAAAAATTCACATTACAACCAAAAACGTTTGCGGTTTTTTTTTTATAATATATATATATATATATATATATATATATATATATATATATATATATATATATATATATATATATGGTATTCAGTTCTGTATTAGTTATGTCTTTATCACAATTTGTATGTATCTAAGATAGTCAACCAGGTCTATGTATATATATGTACGTAAGATTACGAAGTGCTAACATTTAAAAAAATGTTCTTTTAAACTAAACACAGTGAATGTCACTTGAGAATATTTCGAGTTCCTCCTACAGTAGAATTACTCACTTAATTTTCAGGTGGAACCGTATAAGGGAATTTGGTGGGGATGAAAACTTATGATCGGAATACCACCCAAAATGGGGGATCATTTCCGTAAACAATATCTTGCCAGTTCCGTTACAATATTCTTCGTGAAATAAAAGCGTTTAATTCGGAACCAACAACCTCAACAAACAATGTCTGCCTCATCAATTTTAAAGAAAAGGTGGAAATGTTATGTGAGCATGAATAGATACACCAACGTGTTAGGGTTTATACAAATTATCTTTCTTTATAATAACGGAAAACACCTGCGAAAAAAAGATGGTGTATGCAAGGAAGGAATAATGCCTGCTGTTTCAATTCATTTAAAGCCGATAATAAGTCCATAATTTGAATTGGGGGTTTAAATGTTATCTAGAATAGACGTGTGATTAAAATGTTTCCTGCCTAATTCTCTTTTAAAATTTTAGTATAGTTATTTCGGTTTCAAATATCAACATAATAGATTAAAAATTAAAGTCATGGTTTGATGAGCATCATAAGGTAATTAAACATATCTGTCTATATATCCGAGATGAGGTATTATGATTATTTACATGATTTACATTATTCAGACTGTTATCCTCATCTTTATTGCCATATTCACAACGTTTCTGCCGTTGTACGCTCCGGCCTTTATGCCTATGTCTCTCTATATCTCTGAGATGAGGTATTATGATTACTTGCATAATTTTCATTATTCGGCCTGTTATCTTCATCTTCATTGCCATATTCACAACGTTTCGGCCGTTGTACGGTCCGGCCTTTATGTCTATGTCTCTCTATATCTCTGAGATGAGGTATTATGATTACTTGCATAATTTTCATTATTCGGACTATTATCCTCATCTTCATTGCCATATTCACAACTTTTCGGCCGTTGTCCGCTTCGGCCTTTGTGTCTATGTCTCTCTATATCTCTATCTCTGAGATGAGGTATTATGATTATTGCATAAATTATATTATTTCTCAATGTCCTCAGGGATACATAGTCTAGTGGATAAAGACTTTGGTTAGATCTAGTGACTAGACCCAAAGAATTGTGAATTCATGTGTACTTTGATGTAACGGCATATGCGCACATGCGTACGAGAGACGTTGGGAATTTTAAATTATTAGGTTTGGTGGAAAAATAATGACATAATGATATCGTTTTTTGACGTTAAAAAATACGTCCAAAAACGATATTATTACGTCATTATTTTTGCACCAACCTAATAAAAAATGTATATTTTTTTCTTTTTTTAATAAGTATTCCATAGCAGATTTTATTCAGGTTTTTTTTTTGTTTTTGTTCATATTGTTTTTAATTTTTAAAAATGCTATTCTAATTAAAAGAGAAATCAATTTACTAAGATGAAAATCTATAGAAAGTGCATTAATCGATAGATCATGCTATATAAATTTGCATTCAGGTTCTTATAACATTTCACCATTCTTGTCATATATTTTACTTTCCACTTACTTAAGCTCGTTAGGTATGTCACGTATTGCTTTACTTTGCCCCTCTTTCTCACTATGCGCCCTGTGAGTATCAGATTTTCCAAGCACTCCTTTCTCATTACGTGTCGCAGAAGTTACAGCTGCCACGTCCTGATGTTAAGTATAAGTTTCCGCTTTGTTTGCACCCTCTTCAAAACCTCATCGTTGCTCACACGCTTGATAAATGATATCCTTAACTTCCTTCTCTATACTCTGTTGGCTCGAGTCACTTCTTCATCTTTGAGGAGATTGTCCAACATTCGCAGCCGAATGAATTTCATAGCGATGCCCGATTTATGTATTTTTAGTAATACGTAAAGTGTGGATATTTTCGAGTGGTGTTCGATGAGTTTTAGCCAGAAGTGTCTTAATATTTTAATAGTTTCTTGGTTTCGTTTTCATTAAATACAAAATAGAAATGTTCTTATAGTAGGCGAGGCTTGAATGAAAGTCTAACCTGTGTTTGAATAGAGCGTAGTAGAACATGCAGATGTAATAAATATCCTTATGAAGATCCTTATAAGGTGTTACGCCTAGAAAGTTTGTTTGCTAATCGTCATCTCTTATGGGCCAGGCGTGATACTCGCTTAGTCGATAATCGAAAGATACATGATTGGCGAGGGAGATTTTTCCCGCAGCAGGTTGCCATTTCTTTCAAGCTGCCATCCATGGCTATAGAACCCGATCTGTACTGTTATTTACCCATAGCTGGCGGGGAGAAGAAAATGGATTCATACCTTTCCCAAGGGCATAAGACGTAAGTGAATGGATTCAACTTGAAAGTCAGTCAGTATTCGGCCATGTGTGATACACGCTTAGGCGATCATGTATCTTTCGATACATGACTGAAAAGGCAGATTTTTTACTGCAGCAGGTTATTATTTCTTTCTGTGGTAGACAAGTTGCTATCCAAGTCTATAAAATCCGGACTGTCCTGTTATTTACCCATAGCTGGTGGGGGAGAAGGAGAGGATTCATGCCTTTCCCAAGGATATTAGCACGTAAGTGAATGTAATGAATTCAATTGGAAAGTCAGTCAGTCAGTTATGTGCCATGTGTGATACACGCTTAGGCGATCATGTATCTTTCGATATATGACTGACAAGGCAGATTTTTTACTGCAGCAGGTTGCCAATTCTATCTGCGGTAGACCATTTGCCATTCAAGGCTATAGAACCCGTTCTGTCTTGCTATTTATCCATAGCTTCGGTGGAAGAAGATGATTCATAATGTTCCCAAGGTTATTAGCACGTAGGTGAATATAATGGATTCGACTAGAATTCGAACTCGGCTCTCAATCCGAGCCGCTATCCATGACTCCACCGTACCTTTTCTCTTGCTTCTCACACCGAAGCCGTTGATCCCTTTTATATAGTGAGGTTCACTCTTTACAAAGCCCAGGGGCCACTCGAATTAAAGGGTTACGCTTGGGAGCCATTTATATGTATAGGAGTGGAAGGCAACTGTTAACCCTGGCATCGCACAGGTTAAGATTACAGTAATCAGTGAAATATCATGTTAGGAGTCGGTCCCACAAGGCATTTGTTCGCCGGAAGAAGCTACTCAAGTGGAACTTACTTCTAAACGGGGGGATACGGAGGTAATGTGTGTGGTTTGCGACTATGTATGTGGCATGTCGTGTTCTTTTTGTGAAGGTTTGATTTGGCGTGTTCAGGGAATGTAGTTCGTCCGAGCATCTTCCGGGAAAGTATCGGTAGGGCAGTGAGAGGCTTGGCACATCCCGCCTGTGGGAGAGAGGTTAAAGGGTGGAGAATAAGTCGTCACCCATAAGGGCTAAGCGACGCTTTTGAACTCAAATCTAATGAGTAAGGTCTGGGCAATACCCGCCCAAACATGATAACATTCCTCTGTATTTGGTTTAAATTTAGCCAACTTCGCTGAGATTTTTTTTATCACTATTAGTTTGTATGTAACATTGAACTACTCATCCTATTAACAACAACATTCCATTTTCGATTAGACAGATATTTATGTCTATAAACATTCTTTAGGGGAAGTTGCTTTATTGAAAAGTAAATAACAGAATCTGATTGAAACCGTGATACCAAACAATATTATTATTATTATTATTTTCTTTGATTTCTGGCGTTTACACATTTCTTTCCGGGGTCCCGTCCAGGGAACTAAGGTTAGAAATGGCATCTTGACACTTTCCCCTGAAAAAAAAAAAAAAAAAAATTACATAGATAAAGCTCTTCGAAAAGTGTGGGTTGTACGTCAGAACAATTTTTGTATCTCCTTGAGGCATGGACTTCCAGGAATCCCTTCAATTAGTCTACTGCAATCTTTTCCAACCAGTGTTAGGGCTCCAACTACAACAGGGATTGTTGATGTTCCCATATGCCACATTTTCGAGATATCTATTTCAAGGTCCTTGTATTTTGACAGCTTTTTGAATATCTTCAAAGATACATAGCAGTCAGCAGGGACTGCCATATCAATAAGGAGGCACGTTTTTTTGTTTGTGGTCTTTAATAACAATATCTAGGCGGTTGACTTTGATTGTGTGTATTGTGTAGTCCCATATTATTATTATTGTTATTATTATAATTATTATTATTATTATTACTATTATTATTATTATTTAGAGATCTGGTTTTATTTGTCGGGAAAAGATTTTTAAAATTCTGTAAGAAGTATTCGTCAAAATGAACTCACTATAAAAGCGGTTTTAAATGAATAAATAATTTAATGAAAAGAAAAGGGTGAGCGACAAAATGTGAAATAATTTAGAAAGAAAGAAAGAAAGAAAGAAAGAAAGAAAGAAAGAATAGTGAAGAGGGGTAGAAGAAAAAAAAAGTAAAATAAAGAAAGGATAGGGTAGAGCGAAGAAGAAAAAAAACTAAAAAGAAAGAAAAGATACGTGTAGGGGGAAGAAGAAAAATGAAAGAGAAAGAAAGAACAAACGAAGTTTGAATTAAGGAAGGAAATGAATAAATAAATAAAATATCTATTCTGAGAAAGAATGAAACAAACAAAGAAGGGTAGAGGGAGGGGGGAAGTAGAAAGAAAACGAAAAATATAGGAAAAAAGAAAGAAAGAAAAAGAAAAAAAGGAAGTAATAGATTCTGAGAAAAGAAAAACAGAAGAAATGAAAAAAAAGAAAAAATAATTTGTTCCGAGAAATTAAAGAAAAGTGTTTGAACAGATCGATGAATTTGGGAATGAAACACAAAAAAGTGAAGTGAAAAGAAATGGAAGGAAGAAATGATCAGTCCGAGAAAGAAAGAAAGAAAGAAAGAAAGGAAGGAAGGAAGGAAGGAAGGGAGGAAGGAAGGAAAGAAGGAAGAGAGGAAGGAAGGAAGGAAGGAAGGAAGAAAGAAAGAAAGAGAGAAAGAAAGAGAGATAATTAAAAGAAAGAGCAATTTCTGCGAAAAGAAATGAAAGGAAGAATGTTCACTTCGAGAAAGAAAGAAAGAAAAAAGAAAGAAAAAAGAAAGAAAAAGAAAGAAAGAAAGAAAGAAAGAAAGAAAGGAAGGAAGAAATAGAGAAAGAAAGAGAGATAATCAAAAGAAAGAGTCATTTCTGCGAAAAGAAATGAAAGGAAAAAATGTTCACTTCGAGAAAGAAAGAAAGAAAAAAGAAAGAAAGAAAGAAAAAATAAAGAAAGAAAGGAAGGAAGAAAGATAGAAAGAAAGAGAGATAATCAAAAGAAAGAGCCATTTCTGCGAAAAGAAATGAAAGGAAAAAATTTTCACTTCGAGAAAGAAAGAAAAAAGAAAGAAAGAAAGAAAAAACACTTTAGCGAAATGAAATGGAGGGAATAAATGCTCACTACGTGACAGATAGAAAGAAAAAAAAGAGGAAAAGAAAGAAAGAACCACTTCTAAGAAAAGGAAAGGTTGAAGAAATTGAACTTCGCGAAAGAAAGAAAGAAAGAAAGAACCACTTCTTAAAAAAGGAAAAGAAGGAAGAAATTTTCACTTCGAGAAAGAATGAAAGAAAAAATGAAAATTTGTTCCCGAAAAGGAAAGAAGAAATAATCGCTTACGATAAATAAATAAAGAATGACTGAAATATAATGATTTTCCAAGCGTAGCTGAGATATGGCACAGGGCCGAATACTGGGGGGCATTCAGTGAGGATCGAACTCATTACTTAATCATAACTGTTTTAGCGACACAAGCTTGCTAACCATTACACCACCTCGAGATACCTAGAATGACGGAAATATATGTTGACAAATATTACATATTTCGTTCTAGCACCTTCCATGAAAGAAAGAGGAGTCTATTTTACCTTGTTCGGTATTTTAAAAAAAATGCATTTCTCATAGAATCTCACATTCGCCATTAGATTTCGTCGTCATAACCATGACGCCATAATAATTAACTGATTTGCCAAATATAAGCCTAAATTAAAAACTCCCTTATCAAATTTCAGACTCTTCAAGCATCTTATCCAAATGTATCTCAAAATCTAAAACAAGACCCAATAGACCCTGGTGCAAATTAATTGAAACAACGGCATTAGTTTCCTTCCTTTCATCATGCGATTTATTTTAAACCAACTGGAGTGATAGAGTGTGATCTATTTTTTCCGCAGACGTGAAACTGAACTTTCCACTCCAGGTTGTCAACCGGTCTAGGAGGAGGACAACCTTAAATTGAAATCGCCAATGCCATTGGGAAAGACATCATTCTCTCCCACATGAACCGAGAAGTTGTTCTGATAATTTGCAATACTTTGTCTTGAACACAACATCGTGGCCGCTTTATTCTCTCTTACACCTTAAGAGAATATGCTCGGGTTGTGTAATGAATAACGTTCTCGGAAAAGGAAATCAGAGAGCCGAGTTCAAATTCCATATGAGTTAGTTATATTCACTTACGCGCAAATATACTTTGGAAAGGCATGAATCCACCTTTTGTACCAGTAAAACATTATTATCGCCAAAATAACATTCTTACAATCTAAAAATATTTTCTGGCTTTAAATAAACTTCAAAAGGTTGATAAGATGTAAAAAAACTAAATCAAATTAAAAAAAATGAAATAATATATCATTTTATAAAATCAAGACTGGTATAAATTTAAAACATAAAGATTAATTATTGCATCGTCACAGAATTAGGACAGATTGATCGTTCACCATCTTTGAGACACTATTGCACTCGATGCAAAAGCTTTGTTTTAAAGATCGTCTGAGAAAATGTACAGAAATTGGCTTCAAAGATTTGACTGTCAAGAATAATCCAAATAAAGTTGATATGTTTGTATTAGATACATTAAACTAAAAATAGATTCAATCCCAGAAGCAAAATATAATATTTTGTAATGTACTCGATAACTAAAACCATTGGAAAAATTAGTAAAAGATTGCAAAAAAGCCTAATCAATGAATAAGATTTTACACCATGTGTTTGCTCATAATTAATAAAAACAAAAATATATAAAACGTGTACATAAAACCATAATACTGTTGGGTGCAAATTATAAGATAAAATGTTTTAGTTTTGCATTGTTTATTGAAATCGAACTAAACCTACTACACTATATGTCTATATTTCTGAGACGAGGCATTATATTACCTATTTACATTATTTGCACTATTGTCACCATCGTTTGTCGCCATATTTATTACAACATTTCGGCCGTTGTACGCTTCTTCAGATGGTTGAAACGTCGGACTGAACCCTTTATTTCGCTGACCGTTCTAGTTCTACGTGCCATGTCTCAGCTATCTCCTGTTAATTCCCCTCTCCAAGTTCTCCACTGCCTTAACTGGGTATTGAACTCACACTCTTTGGGTCCTGTCACAGGATCTAACCAACGCCTTTATCCACTGTGTCATGTTTACTTGAGGACATCTGTGTATGAATTTCTGGGTATTATAATGTCTTCAGCAAAAAATTTTAACAGTGCTCATATTGCAATTTTTGCCGTTATCATTTATGTTTTTACCAGAGCTCATATCAAAATTTTTGTTAGTATCGCTTTTTCTCTTGTGTTCTTGAAGCCTTAAATTAAAGGGCGGCCTGTCTCCCCTTTATATTTCTTTCCGCAGCTGCACGGGATGGCGTAAACAGTTTTTAGTCATGGGGTCTTCCTCGGGAGAGATATCTGCGAAGTGTCGTCCAGGTTTTGAAAGTTGTCCTGATGTTATATGGAGTAAGACCCCAACCCATAGAGGACCCGGCCGAAACGTTGTAATAAATATGGCGACAAAGATGAAGACAATAGTCCGAATAATGTAAATGGTGTACTTACTACACTGTATAACATTATATAATATAGATATAATAATAGTATGATTTGCCTTTGGAGTAAATGAAGGTCTTATTTGATGGCACAATGATTTAATAATAATGTGTTTGTTCTGCTGCTTGTCTATATACAATTTCAAGCTTCGGTAGTTAATTTAACTGTTCTGTCCACACAGGTAAATGTGCTGGTAAATTAGGAAACTCCATTCGTTGGAACATCTTTTCGCTTATTATTTAAAACCCCTTCTGCAAACGTAGGCTCAAAAGAACCTTCAATATTTAACTAGTGTATCTCTTCAGAGTTGCTGAATGGAATTTTCAATCTCTTCCTTGGTGGATCCGTACGTTTGTAACAAAAAATATTTTTATTGAAAAATTTACCCATAGTTGGTCATAGTTTTTCACGTAATTTGTATAGAATACTTCTCGTACTTTCTCCTGCATTCATCTCTTTTGTTCTTACATTGGTATTTATAGGCTTCTTCTTGTTTTAGTTCCCTAATCTTTGTGATAAAAAAAAATCTCGATCAGTTGTGTGTGCTTCTGTAATTCTCCCTTCCTTTCATGTTACATTTGTACATTCATTTCATCGGAAATCCATGCCGATGTCATCATTGAAACATTTTACAGTATTGAGGTTACCCTTCAAGTCATTGTTTTTGCTATTATTATTATTATTATTATTATTATTATTATTATTATTATTATCATTATTATTATTTCTTTGATTTCTGGAGTTTACACATTTCTTTCCGGGTCCCGCCCAGGGACCTCAGGTTAGAAATGGCGTCATGACACTTGCCACTGACAGAAAAAAAAATTACATAGATAAAGCCCTTCGTAAAGTGTGGGCTGTACTTGTCAGAACAATTTTTTCTATCTCCTTGAGGCATGGACTTCCAGGAATCCCTTCAATTAGTCTACTGCAATCTTTTCCAACCAGTCCTAGGGCTCCAACTACAACAGGGATTGTTGATGTTCCCATATGCCACTATTATTTTCTTTGATTTCTGGTGTATACACATTTCTTTCCAAGTCCCAACCAGAGACCTAAGATAAAAAATGGCATCATAAAATTTTTCACTGAGCATTTAAGAATAACCCTTATGTTTATCGGAAACTTTTTGATGTGACCAAGTAATTGGTTAAGAAATAACAGCCCAAGAGGTTGCAGATAAATAGTGTATTGAACAGTAAATACAACAGAAGAGTGTTACACGACTTGGGAATGTGTGTCGGTTGACCAGTGTTCAGTCTATATCACTGTTCCCCCTGAGGTCTACTTTTCCTAACTTCATAGCAAGTGGAAGTGTCCACAATAGGCTCATTCGAGAGAGCACCCGACAAGACTTTTTCAATCAATTCGAGTGCTCCAACTACAATTGGATTTTTTAACATTCTCATATGTCTCATTTTTGAGATTTCGCTTTAAAGGTCTTTGTATTTTGATGATTTTGGAAGATCTTCAAAAAGACATTATAGCCTGCAGTGACTGTTATATAAATAAGAAGACATACTCTATTTTTGTGGTCTCTGATCCTGGTGTCTGTTTGATTGTTCTGTCTATGTGTATTGTAAGGTCCCATAAAATTGTAACAGGTCCTATGTCTGTAAGCGGGTCTCTGTGGTGATCATACCAATTTCTTTCAGTTACCTTTCCGTAAATTTTGCATATTTTCCAGTGCAGATATTGGCCCACACTGCCATGCAGACATTTATATCCAGTGGGTGATAATAACGTGCAACGTGATGCAAGATGGTCAAAGGTTTCTAGATATTTATCACAGAATCTGCATTTGGGGTCAACACAATTTTCCGTAAGTTTGTTTTATAATTTCTAGTTAGCAAGCATTGGTGCTGTGCAGCAAGAATGAAACCTTCGATTTCAGGTTTTGATCCTGCATTGATTTGGTACGGGGTTTGTTTACATCAACTATTTGGTCCGGGTAGAGTATTGACGACGAAGAGGTTTACCTTGCCATCGTTTCTGTATTTAGCGCATTGCATCTGCTTTTGTTTTCTTTTTTATTAGGTTCTTCGCAGCTGCAGTAGTTTTATTATGATTTATTTGCCCTTCTTCAGCCATTTGAAATTCCCTTTTGATTTTGCTGGCTTCCCTTATCAGTTAATAAAGTTTCTTATTTCTTTCAAGTTCTTTGACGCAGATCATCATCCAGTCTGCAGCAGTTTCCAGATATCTTGAAAGATCGATTGTTGCGGTTTCGTAAGATAGTTCTAGTCGAACTATACTATGTCCCCTACGGAACTGGACATATATTGATTATTATTATTATTATTATTATTATTATTATTATTATTATTATTATAGTTGTTGTTGTTGTTGTTGTTGTTGTTGTTGTTGTTTTTCTTCTTTATCCTTACATTATACATAAGGAAATGTCTTCAAGACTCAACCATTGTTTTCAGGAAAAAAAAAGCAAAATGGCGGTGAAATAAGAAACAAGGAAATAAAAAATGGAGAAGCAATTCATTTACGCTAGGTTAAGAAGACAACTGTAGAAGATACAAAGTCTGTCTCAGCAAAATGGAAGACAAATGAGAGAATTTATCGGTTGTTGTTGATAAGAAACCTACAATGAAAACAAATAAAAAATAATTAACAGGTAATATAAGAAAAAAATATTTATAAGATAGAAATGAAAAGAAACACAAAAACAACAAAAAGACATAGCATAGAATTTTTCATCAAGAAATGAAGGAAAACAAAAAAAAGAATAATAAACAGGACAAACGACATTTCTCGAATATTTTGTAAAATTGATAATGAAGACGAAAAGATTAGTAAACTTTGAGAGGAACAATTAGAAGACAACAAAAAAAAAAAAAAGAAAAGAAAAGAAAAAAAGTCGAGGTATCATCCAATCAGCAAGAATAATTGTATTCACTGCACGGGGATAAATCAATGCAAGGCACGGGAAGTAGCCATGAGTTTGATATTTTTGCAAGTCATATATTTCAGGGCAACCAGAAATTTGATTTACATATTTGTTTCTACATTCATCGTATCATTCCCCCTCGAAACCCAAGTAACAACATATAATCTAGTTATTTTGAGAAGTTACATGCTGCATACACTTATTTCGTGTCTT